CTTTGGAGGATATTCAGGTCGATGACAGCCTGAATTACATCGAGCGACATGTGGCAATCCTCGACAGGAAGTCGAAGGATCTGAGGAACAAGAGGGTGGAACTCGTAAAGGTGCAATGGCAGCACCGGGAGGGATCAGAGTGGACTTGGGAGCCGGTGGAAGAGATGATGGAGCACTACCCCGAGCTGTTTCAGGATCGAGCAACAGACTTCGAGGACGAAGTCTAAAATAAGTGGGGGAGATTTGTAGCACCTAGTTCTTAGTACGTATTCCGTGTAATTAATAATTTTTAATTCATGTAATTTGCCTTGGAGTCGGCGAGTTGAAGGACCAACTCGCTGAGTAGGAGCGGGATGAGACGCGGGGTCTGAGCCTCGGACTCGGCGAGTCGGTTCCCGGACTCGTCGAGTAGGCCCTGTTTGGGCAAAAACCCTAACCTGGGTGCTTGCACCCTATTTAAGCACTCTAACTCGGCCTCCTTTGTCCCTAACACTTCCAGAAGAGTTGTAGAGCGAAACCCTAGCCCTTTGTGTCCTTGTGAGTGATTTTGTCCTTGTGAAGGAAGTTTGAAGCTTAAGAGAAGAAGAAGGAGGTGGAAGAGTGCAAGGAGGAGAAGTAGATCCCACATCTACCCTACAAGAGGCTTCCATTCAGGTAGAAAAGTCCCTACCTTGATCACTAGTTCATTAGATTCCTTTGTTGTCCCTAATTGGGGGTTTTCAAGCCCTAAAACACCCAACTCCATGTATTTGTGCTTAATGATCCGAAAGGACTTCAGATCTAGACCTTATGGACATATTAGAAGTATACGGTTTATGTGGTTGAAGTGATTGAGGTCCCCATTGAGTGTATGACCTCATAAAGAGCTTGGATTTGCCTTTTAGAGCTTGTAGGGACATGCATGCATGTAAAGTTTGCAACTTTACATGATAAGCATGCTCTAGGAACATAGATCTATGGTTTTGAAGCGTTGCATGTCTCAGATTTGGTCTATATGGGAAATGGGTCAAGGGACTCGGTGAGTCCCAAAGTGGAACTCGGCGAGTTCTATGAAGATGGCCTTAGACTCGGCAAGTTGGATGAACAACTCGGCGAGTCCTATGAAGATTTCCTGGTACTCGACGAGTTGTTCTTCAAACTCGACGAGTCAGATTAACTATTACTGAGTAAGAGGGGTTTAGGTGTTGACGGTCCAACCCTTCGTATGTGCACGCGAAATTAGCCATTTAACGTGTAGCAATGGTCCCAGAAACCCAAATCCTCATAAAGGATGCTCTGGTGAGGATTTGGAAGCGAGTAGGAGATCTGCTCGTATGGACTCAACGAGTTGTTCTTGGACTCGGCGAGTCGGATCGCGAGCCGGTTCTATCGTCCCAAGTAGTGAGTTAAGGGTGACTCAGTGAGTGGGATGAGGGACTTATAGAGTAGGATCGGGTTAGTGGGAGAAGGAATCGGCGAGTTGGTGCCATGACTCGGCGAGTCCAATCAACTGGAAGTTGACTTTGACCAAGGAGTTGACCTTGGACCACGGGTGGGTCAGTCATCTGAACTGAGGGTGTTTATGAGTGGCTAATCTATGGTTATGATTTATAGCCGGAGGATTACTGATTCAGCAGTCAGGCGCTTAGCAAGCAGACTTGCAGCAACTACTTTTTGAGGTGAGTTACCTTCCAGTAGCGGTGGTTTTAAGGCTAATATGTCAGCCCACCAGTAGGAGACGTATGATAGATGATTGTCTTTGTGATATCATCTAGGTTTGCTACTACCTTATATGTTATATGCTAGCTTGATATGTTGTATGTGATAGTAGTAGTGTTCGGTTGTTAGGACCGAAGGGTAGTCAGACACCCCAGGTACGTATGACATTACGTGATGATATGTTTACATGCTGGCTTGTTATGTTATTTGCGATAGAGGTAATAGGAGGGGACCAGTCCCCGAGTTCGGTTGCAAGGACCGAAGGGTAGTCAGCACCCCAGAATGGCTTGACACGGGAAGGACGACACCCCAGAATGGCCACATGGGTAGGTCGGCACCCCAGAATGGTCGTACTGGGTAGTTCGGGCACCCAAAATTGCTTGGCAGTATGTATGTGATATGATTATATGGTATACGGTATGATGGTGGAACTCACTAAGCTTTGTGCTTACAGTTTTCACTTTTGGTTTCAAGTACCTCTTCAGCGAAGGGGAAGGAGCTGGCGCGGTAGCGGCACATCATACACACACATTAGATTTCCACATTATGAGATGTTCTGGGATTGTACTCTGACATTATTATTATTTTCATGTTTTGGGTTTTCAGACACGAGATATGTTTTATGAAATGATATGATTGGATGATGTTTTACTACAAATATGTTACAAATCACTTATTTTAAATGAAATTTTTGGGCGTGAAAATTGGGTCGTTATAGTTCAACAAGCCTATTCTTGTTTTAATCATGTAAATCGATGTGGGATTTAAATTCAGGTGGTAGATTCTTTTTAATTTCAGTTATCATGCTTAGATTGAGTTAGAATTTGAGTTGTAGGTTAGATTTTAAGTTTAAGCTATTGATTTTGATTTGAGGTTAGAATTATATTTCAACAATGGTGGTGGATGTTGTGATTGGTTGTTGTGGGCGGAGGTGAACTGTAGTGTTTGTTGGAGGTGAATAATGGTCCTGTTTAGAGGCGAACTGTTGCTGGAGATGGTTGAAAAGAGGTTGTCGAAGGAGGTGAACGATGGAGGGGAAGTGGATTATGGGTAATGGTGGGACCATATATAGAGGTGACAGACGATGGTAGTAGCAGACTAAGGTGGTGACAGATGGTGATGGTGGCAGACGGTTGTCAAAAGGTGGTGATGGTGGCGGACGGTGGTCAAAGTGTGGTGGTTGTGGAAGATATTTTTAAGTTCATGAATATGTTTTTGAGTATACTTAAGATTATGAAGGTGTGTTCTTGAGATTATGAAGGTGTTCTCCTCTATTATTTTTTTAATTGTTAAAATAAATAAATAAATATTAAATTTTAAAAAAATGAAAGAAAAATGAAAAATAAATACCCTAAGGGTATTATAGTCATTTTAATTTTCGAATGGACTATTTTCACATGCAAACCACTCCAGAAGGGCCATGAATCTAAAAAACTCGGTGTTTAGACTAAAGGGATAATGACTTAGGAGGGTAACTACCTATTAGCGTTGTTCACATATTGGCAACTTGTTTTTTTTGTACCTAATACACCAACTAACTTGTTTTAACCGTTTACATTATAACATTATTACCGGCTAACCTCCATTTTAACCGGTAAATGCAATTAATTCATTTAAATGAAAAGGAAAAGAAAAAACATGGCTCCAGAAGATTATACGTGGCATGTTACGTGTCTATTTACACCTCACTTATTATATAGAGGGTGTTTGTCGTTGAAGCCCTATATCGACAATGGCTTCTTCTGCTTCATCTGCTTCTTCCAAACGAAATGTCGAACTCCAAGCTGACCATCCATGTAAGTGCGACATGCCATCTCGTGTGAAGATTTCAAGAACACCCGACAATCCAGGAAGAAAATTTCGAGTTTGTCAAAATTCTTTGGTAAATATGTTTTATTTATTCAACCCGGAACTGAATCTTCTTCTTCATCTTCTCTTCAATTTTTTTTATCCTTTCATGAAGAGTGCAAGAACTCCAAGATGTAATTTCTGGGAATGGTTGGAAGACGATGAGTACCAACAACAGAAGAACAGTGATTTGGGACAAATCTACAACCTAACATTCAAGATTGGAAATTTGGACAATGAAATTAGTTATTGCAGGAAGAAGTTGGAAGAAGAGAAGAACTCTAATTTAGTTTTCAGACAAGAACTGGACAAAGTGAAGTGGAAGTTGTTTACTCATAAAGTTGCATTGTTTGTGTTATTTTTCTTGTATGTTAAACATGTATTTTTTAAAGTTTGATGTGTTCTTTGTATCCTGTTTGATGTACTCTTGTTTGATGTATTCTTCTTTGATGTGTTCTGACTAAATCATGTACTTCATGAAGTTTTGTATGCAATGAAAGTTATGACTAAAGTTTGATGTTTAATACTTGATGTATTAAGATAGTAAACATGTAATGTATACAAAGACATAAATAAACATGTATTAAGACAGTAAACATGTAACTTGGGAGTTTGATGTATTAAGACAGTAAACATGTAATGTATACAAACACATAAATAAACATGTATTAAGACAGTACACATGTAACTTGGGAGTTTGATGTATTAAGACAGTAAACATGTAATGTATACAAACACATAAATAAAAATGTATTAAGACAGTACACATGTAACTTGGGAGTTTGATGTATTAAGACAGTAAACATGTAATGTATACAAACACATAAATAAACATGTATTAAGACAGTAAACATGTAACTTGGGAGTTTGATGTATTAAGACAGTAAACATGTAATGTATACAAACACATAAATAAACATGTACTTAAATCAGGGGATAATGACTTGGGAGGGTAAACATGTACTTAAATTAACATGTTCTTAAAGTACCAAAATACCCCTAATGACTTGGGAGGGTAAACATGTACTTAAATTAACATGTACTTAAAGTACCAAAATACCCCTAATGACTTGGGAGGGTAAACATGTACTAAAATTAACATGTACTTAAAGTACCAAAATATTCCCAAACATACAAGACCCAAGATGTTAAAGTATCAAAACATTCCAAAAGATGTGCCAAGTTTGTCCTATTGTGCCAAACGATATTACAAGACCCAAGATTCCAAAACATGCAAAATAAAACAACACATTGAATTCAAATCTCTAGTGGGTGGTCAGTATTGCTTCCTTCCTTCCTCCTTATGTTCTTCCTTAACTGAATCTTTGTAAGTCTTTCTGAAGTTTTTCTTGTCCTCTTCCTAACTGGATTTTCTGCATTGTGTTGAATTTCATGTTCCACATTATCTTGAACTTCAATTTCATGTTCCACTTAAATGTTAGCTTGAATCTCATCTTCTATGTTAGCATCAACTTGAATGTCATCTTGAATCTCCCCTACAAGGTTATCTTGGACTAAAGGAACATCAACTTGAACTTCAGGTACCACATAAACTTCAGGAACATCAACTTCAACTTCCACATCAGGTTCAAGAACATCAACTTCAGGAACATTAGCTTCCACATCACTTTCACTTTCAAAGTCACTATCACTTTCACTTTCAAACATGACAACATGTTCCACTTCCAATTCAGCTTCAAGGTCTACTTTACCTGTAAAAGGGAAAAAAAAATCAGAAATGGCACACAAGTATAATATATTAGATAATTTAACACCATACCTTGTTTCTTAGGTTTCTTTTTGTTAGAACCTAAAGTAGATGGTACATCATTTGGTCTTTGAGGACATGTTGATCTGTTATGTCCTCTTTCCCTACAAATGGTACATCTCATTATCATTCCCTTTTTTGAGACTGTATGCCTTGTTCCCTTAGATTCTCTCTCAACCTGATCCCTTTTCCTTTTCAGTGTTGGTCTTCCAGGTAGTCTTCTTTTTTTAGGGGGCAATGGTTTGGTGTAATCCACTTCAGGCCACATAGCACTACAGTTTAGTGGCCTAATGTTATACCTATAACAACTTGCATACATTGATGTAGTAAACCATTCTGACACATACTCCTCAGGGTCCCTATTAAGGCTTGAAATGGCAGCATATCCATGCACACAGGGATACCTTGCTAACTGACATGCCCTGCATCCACATTGCCTAGTATTCAGGTCTACAGCATACCCTTCAGTCCCCACCCTCACCTCAAATTGCATATACCCAAAAGGTACCACTTGCCAAAACCTATCCATAATCATATACAAATTAGAAAATATTAAAAATGAAAAACATATAAGCAATAAGAATTTACCTTTGTGTTTCCTTGTGCTTATTCAACTTCAACCTTATAGAAGGACATATGCTTAAATCCCAAGATTGACCCTTGGCCTTGTATATACACAACCTTTCCATCACATAAATCCGGATTTCTTCTAACATGGTAATAAGTGGTTTCTTCCTAGCAGCTTCAATCACAGAGTTAAAACTTTCAGAAACACCATTTTCATATGCATCACAACTCCTATCAACCTGAAAAAAAATGCTTTACACCATGTTTTAGGGTCCCTTTCCATTAAATGTTCATAAGCTAGTGGCTCCAGCTTCTTGATTTCATTCATATGGTATTCAAATTTTTGTGGAACTGTAGATCCAGCAGCTCTCCAAAATAGTTTCTTAAACATTTGCCCCTTAAATCTTTTTTTGGAAATTAGCACATATGTGCCTAGCACATTGCCTATGCTCTGCAGCTGGAACCCTTTCCTTCACAGCTTCAACTAATCCCTATAATCAAAACATAAACAGCATAAGCAAAAACATATTAAGTATGTAAAATAAGTATGGAAAATAACAATAATTAAAGTGTGAACATTACTTTGTGTTGGTCTGATATTATGGTTAGTCCATGCCCAACTCCCATTCCAATGTCATCAATTAGAAGATCAAGAAACCACTTCCATGATTCTTTATTTTCTACTGCAACCATAGCCCATGCAACAGGATATATGTGGTTGTTTGCATCCCTCCCAATGGCTACAAGCAACTGACCTCTGCATATGCCCTTTAAGAAACAACCATCTACTCCAATTACCCTCCTACAAGCCTCTATCCATCCATCCTTCAAACCCTTTAAACACACATAAAACTTTGAGAAGTATGTTTCTCCATCAGGCATCACATCCACCTCCATCTTAACTATTGATCCAGGATTTGTCCTTTTTAGCTCTTCTCCATAACTCCATGTCTTAGCATAATGCTATATTAAAGTACCTTCTATCTGCTAAAATGCATATTTCCTAGCATTTCTACATTGTCCAACACTAGCTATCAGGTTAAACCTTTTACTGACCTTAGCTTTCAATTTCCTAATGCTCATCTTTGGTTTCTGTATTATATCATTCATGAAATGAGTTCCAATCCATTTGTAGCTTACAATGGACCCAAATTTGAAAACTCTTGCACAATTATGCCTATCAATTAATGACTTAATCTGAAAAGACCTCTCATTCTTCATCCAGGTTGCCCACAACCTAAAGGGACAACTCTTACTCTTCTTGTTCTTCTTATATTTACAATATTTTGCCAACAACTTTTGATGATCATTTTTTTCAAACCATAAGTCATACCCATTCTTGACAGCATAGTTGGTTAGACAAAGCTTCAATTCAAGAGGGTTGGCAAACTTCATACCTAAAACTGGGACCATTTTATCCCATTCTTGCTTCTCATCAAAGACAGGGAACACAACCTCATCATCTTTATCCCTATCTTCATCATCATCAGCATCATTTACTTCTTCTTGATTACTATTGAGAATGGGTTTACCACACAACTTGTTCAAGAATTCATCATCATCATCTGTTTTGTCAAATATATGCACCTCTTCATCAGGTTCATGCTCACATTCCACTATATCTGAAATTTGTGACTCTGTATCATCATCTTCTATTACATCAGACAACTCATCACCTGTTAACAACTCCTTATTGGCCCAGTCAAGAATGGGTTCGTTTTCGTGGTCAATGTACACATTCATCCTTAGCTCCTGCTTATCCATGTAACCATCTTCAATAAACTCAAAATAGTCAGCATCATTGTCGATTCTTCTGATACCCTCTGCCAATCTTTCATGAGTACTACAATAGTACAAGTTCTCACAGCTTCGTCTTGTCAGCTTTGAAACCCACAACACAAATTCTCTATATTCCATGCCACCAAAATCCACATCACGAACTGACATTCTCATAGGGTCTAAGTACACTAACGGGTTTGGTGCAAACATGCCGTTGAAGTGAAAATCTATAGTGAGATACTTATCGTTAGATGCTTCCATTGTAGTGAGATACGTATCGTTAGACGATTTCAAGTCCCAACTTCAGTTCCTACTGCTTTGATCGACTGAATTCTGAGAAAACTTAAGTAACCGGGATCGATTTGGGGAATGATTTGGGAGTAATTGTTAAGATTAAGAACCCTAAATAAATTAGACCGATATGTGTACATGAAGTCGAATACAGACAAATGGTGAAATAGCCACGTCATAAGCCACGTATTTTCTTTTCCTTTTCATTTAAATGAATTAATTGCATTTACCGGTTAAAATGGAGGTTAGCCGGTAATAATGTTATAATGTAAACGGTTAAAACAAGTTAGTTGGTGTATTAGGTAAAAAAAACAAGTTGCCAATATGTGAACAACGCTAATAGGTAGTTACCCTCCTAAGTTATTATCCCTAGACTAAAACCCAAAAATTTGCATGGTCATTTTTGCAATTTTGTCGTAAAGAAAAGTAATGTGCCGATTTGCATTTTTCTATATAATTTGGATTTTAATCCGTCCTCTCTTTGTGGAATGATTTTCCTTTATGAAAGTCATCTCATTTATGATTCCAATCCCTAAAAAAAATATGATTGGAATTAAATTCTAATTCCTGTTCATTTTATAGGAATCAGCCAACCGAATATACCTAAAGAAAGCCCACAATCATTATTGCGCCACCATGTGTGCGGTCCATGAGTCGGCCTGACGTGGCCCAAATGTCAAACAAATAAAGCATGTTATCTTATCCAAAACGACATCGTAATCTACTGTTCTCGGGAAACACTATCCGATGATCTGATCATCTCCTCCTTAAATATCAGCCCACAGTCTCACACCATCAACACAAAGTTTTTTCCGCTTCTCATTTTCATAGATTTCATCGCCTTGCGAAATTTAAATCTCGTACTCAAATCTCCATCAATGGCCAAAGATCCAGTTCGTGTTCTTGTTACTGGTGCCGCAGGTACGATCTTAGTTTCTATATATGTTTTTGGGTTGAAACGAGAGTGACTATGGATCTAAATCTCTAATCACTTCGTTTCGAGATCCTCTTTTTACTGATTGAATTTATCCGATCGGATCCGATCACTTTTACTTATAACCTTATCTTATTTGTGACTGATCACTTGCTGAAGTGCAAACAAAGAAGAGATAAGAGTGTGAGTGATCTAATTTGACTTCGAGTTAACTTAGATCTGAGCTAACTAGGCATATTTTGACTCGAGTTGACTAAATCTATAGGGTTATGTGTTTTTTCTTTCGATTACTATAGATCAAGGTGAACTAGGGTTTTGTTGGTGTCGTAAGTAAATTTCAAGACGATCGGATTACAGAGCTGTTCTGTCTATTTTTTGTTTTGAATTTTTAGATTAAATCACGGGGTTTATGCTCTAAATTTTAAATGGATGTAGTTGTTTTTTCGAAATGAACATAAATCCGTGTTGTTTATGCACATCTTACAAAGTGCATGACTATTAAACTTTTTTACAGATCATGTGATCGGTCGTTCTTTTTATCTGAGTTTATTTAATTTTCGTTGGATAAGATTTGGGAACTGTATCATTAATATTATTCTGCTAATCCAACCAAGCTTAAAGACTTGTTATGCAAGATGATTTTGAGATTTTGGGTTTATGACTTTATGTTTGAGAGAAAGAATAAAAGATCCATATATCATGAAGATGATGTAACTTTGTTTGCCTTTCGAAAATGGTTTCAAGGATTCCTAACAAGTTTCCAATCGAAATTAATAGAAGAAATCGAACAAAAGAATATATACATATAACTCCAAAATACTTTATAAAAAACCATTTGATGATTACTACATGATAAAGTGTTACAATCACATAGATTAATCTCTCACACACAACCCTAATTACTATATTAGAGGTGCTTAGTGTAAAACAAGACATTGATTAAGCTTTATTTTTTCACAGGACAAATCGGATATGCTCTTGTTCCCATGATTGCAAGAGGAATCATGTTGGGTGCAGATCAACCCGTGATCTTGCACATGCTCGATATCCCACCAGCAGCAGAGGCTTTAAATGGAGTTAAAATGGAGTTGGTGGATGCTGCATTTCCCCTTCTTAAAGGTCTTCATTTACTTCCACATACATTATTCTTCTTATTGTCTTCCCTTTTAATAGCTTTGCATTGTTTCCTATACTCTTCATGCTGTCTAAATTGTGAACCCTTTTTCTTATATCAGGAGTTGTTGCCACTACTGATGCTGTTGAGGCATGCACTGGTGTGAATGTAGCAGTTATGGTTGGTGGATTTCCTAGGAAAGAAGGAATGGAAAGAAAAGATGTCATGTCTAAGAATGTCTCAATCTACAAGTCACAAGCTTCTGCTCTTGAGAAGCATGCTGCAGCAAACTGCAAGGTGATTTTTTTTTTTTTTTTCTTTTTTATTATATTATCTGATGATGTTGTTGATCACTTTATCTTGTCTTTTTGTAATAATCATACCACATGAACACAAAGTGAGATTTATGACCATGGTTTTAATTTGATCCAAAGGTTAATTGGGCTGTTCTATATCTTTATTTACATTAAAATGGTGTAATATTTGGTGCAAATAATGATTTATTTTTAACCCATTACACCATTTTTTTTTACACAAAAAAGAGTATTTCAACTATATTCCTTTTTTCTTACTTATAGAATTTAAAAATATCTAATATAATTATTAGTTCCTGTACAAATTTGTTTTACATCAATTTAATATGTATGGCTAATTAGAAAGCATCTAATATACAACATAATATTATACTTTACAAGTAGCAAATATTACATCTAAATCATAAAAAAGTATCTCAATTTTTAAATAAATACAAAACGTAATGATTAAATTTAATACATACGATTAAACTAATATCAGTTTAATATTATAACATAATGTTACAAGCAAAACATATCATATTCAGAATGTAATGTAACCATACAATTAAATTAGCTAGAATTGTATATATACTCGAACTCGAAGGACCAAATTGTACACATGAAAATTTAACACCAAATATACTATTCTGTTGCACCATTTGACGTTTTGAGTTTATATAATTCAGAATGCTAATAATTTTGTGTTTATTGACATATTTTCAGGTTTTGGTTGTGGCTAATCCAGCAAACACCAATGCATTGATCTTGAAGGAATTTGCTCCATCAATCCCTGAGAAAAACATTACTTGTTTAACAAGGCTAGACCATAACAGGGCTCTTGGACAAATCTCAGAGAAACTTGGTGTCCAAGTATCTGAGGTCAAAAATGTAATTATTTGGGGTAACCATTCCTCCACTCAGTACCCTGATGTCACTCATGCCACTGTTGGTGACAAGTCTGTTCCAGAGCTCATTAAGGATGATGAATGGTATGCAACCTTCCATTACACATTTACTTCCAGAAATTGCACTTGAGATGAGATTTTATCTGTGAAAAGACGTAAATGCCCTTCTCAAATTTATCTTTGAAAATGGACTTCGAAAGGTTGTCTAGTGAATGAGACAAAATTGTAATTTTTGGTTTATTTTCGAAAAAGGTGGAGAAGGTGAGATAGGTACTCCTTGTTGATCTCTTGTTTTTTTTGAAAAAGACGAGAATGCCCTTCTCACCATATCATTGAAAATAGCTCTAGAAAGTTTGTTATCAATAGACAAAAAAGTAGTATTTTTTTTTTGTCTCACCACACGTTGATATATGTGAATGCCCTTCTCAATAATAGCCCTAGAAATCTTTATTCAATCATGTCAACTGGACGAAAATCATAGTTTTTTGTTCCACCTAAAACGGTGGACAACATAAGATTTTTGTCTGTCCAAAAGACAAAAATGCCCTCACTCCCATCATTAAAAATAGCCCTAGAAAGTTTCTCGATACAATGAGACAAATATTGTAGTTCTTTGTCCCACTCAAGAAAGTGTGACAGAGACTCAATTGATCTATTGTTTGTTGAAAAGACATGAATGCCCTTCTCAACTTCATCATCAAGAATTTCCCTTGTATAGCCTATTTGAATTCTTTTGTGGATACTTATAAATATAATTGTTTATTTTTTTATAGGTTGAAATCTGGATTCATTAGCACTGTGCAACAACGTGGGGCTGCAATCATCAAGGCTAGGAAGCTCTCAAGTGCACTCTCTGCTGCAAGTTCTGCTTGTGACCATATTCGTGATTGGGTCTGTGGAACTCCTGAGGTATATAATACTCTTCTTATCTTATCTTATTCGTGATTGGTTCTTACTGTTTGCTTTTGTTACGCACTTGGTCCCAGTCTTACCTAAAAAGACTTATTTAAATGGGGAAAAATGGTGGAGTAGGTAAGATAAGATGAGGGGGTAAGGTTGGGAGTGTGTTTATTTAAATAAATTAAAAAAATCAAGGGAAAATAGTCTTTTTAGGTAAAACATGGACCAATCGCGTAACAAAAACAAACGGTAGTGATCTTTCAAGTTAAAAAAAAATAATTTAGGGACCAAAAACGTAAATTATCCTAAACCGTAGGGACCATTCGTGTAATGCACTCAAGAAATAAAAAACAACGATACTAGAAGGATGGAAAATGTAATTAAACTACTCAAAATAAACATATGCCTATCTTTATTTTTTTTGTATTCTAATTTTTTTTATTGTGATGCAAATTGTAGGGAACTTGGGTTTCAATGGGTGTGTACTCTGATGGCTCATACAATGTTCCAGCTGGACTTATTTACTCCTTCCCAGTTACTTGCCGTAACGGTGAATGGACCATAGTTCAAGGTAAATTTTTTTTTTCCATTATTATTTTAAACTTTTTTGCTATTTAAATAATATAAAAGTTGAATTTCTCACAATGAATATTTGTTGTTTTAAATCAGGTCTTTCGATCGATGAGTTCTCAAGGAAGAAGCTAGACTTGACAGCTGAAGAGTTGACAGAGGAGAAGACTCTTGCATACTCTTGTCTTTCATAGATAATCACTTAAATATATCTCTGGTCTATAGTCATGTGCTATAAATGCTCATACTATTTGTGAGAATTTTCCAAACAGCTACAATTCCATCTTCCAAAATAAACACCATTTAATGGTGAGCTGTTTGTGATGTGGTAGATCTTCCAGCTCTGTTGTAGCAGAGAGTAGTTTGAGTTTTTGAACACTTATTGTGATAGGCAGAGTTGCCGTTTTCATCATTGTCAAATGAGATTCTTGTGTTTGCATCGTTTTCTATGGGCGTTGTTTCTGTGCTATATGGATAAATAGTTTTTCCAAAAGAGAAAATGCAACTCATAATCACGATATAACTATATTTCCTTACACACTAACAGTATATTTATAAATTTCTTTATGCAATAAAAATGCATTTACACTATTTTATTGATTAGTGAACGAACGAAATGCAACTTCGTTTACTATTATGAATAAATAATATAAAATAGTTCTGTTAAAAATAGAGTTAATGTGATAAAAACCCTCAAATTTTCAGGGTTTTGTCGGTTTTTTTCAAAGTTGAATTTTATGTTCGTTTTTATCCTAATATTTTCCAAAAAATGTTGGGTTTTACCCGTAATAACAAGTTACCATCATTATATTAACTTCGTAAAAAACCTTTAAGTTTAAAGTTTTTTTATTTTTTTTTATTTTTTATGTTTTTACCCTTAGGTTTTTAATTTTTTTTTATATTTTACCCTATGCATTTTTTTTTCTTCATATTATACGTATTCAAGCAGAAAAATCATATGAATATGTATATTATGAAAAAAATATACTTAGGGTAAAAGTGTAAAAAAAAATTATAAATTTAAGGGTAAAAACGCAAAAAAAATGGTAAACTTAAGGGTTTTTTTTTTCGAATTTAATATAATAGTAACTTGGAAAATTTGTTATCACCGGTAAAAAGGGTAAAACCCAATATTTTTTCGAAAATGTTTAGGTAAAAATGAACATAAATTTCAACTTTGGGCAAAACCGATAAAACTCTGAAAACTTGATGATTTTTATGACAGCAACCCTTAAAAATAAAGTGAAAGATCTCTCTTAAAGTTATGGCCGGCAAAAATTAACATTGGCTTTTCAAAAATTAACATTGGCTTTTTATTAAGTATTTTTATGTTTCCACGTCTCAAATAAACTATTGAATACGAGAAGTTACACTTGTAAAAATCGAACATATATGGTGTGGTTGTGCTTGAGGTTGATGTTAACCGGCGTATTGTACTTTTTTTTGTCTTGGGTTATCTAGCATGGAAAATAATGGTGTGTAGATGGTTGGAACCTTATTATTGATGGATTTAAGAAGAAATTTCTTCTTGGAAAATAAAAAATTTATTTATTGATTGATTATCCACTGTTTTAAAGATTGTTCTTTATAGCTTTAACATTCTCTTTCATGTCCACTTTTTAGAGGTCAAAGTTAGATTTTAAAGGAGTTGGAGAATTTACGAAGTTGTTTTTGTTTAATTTATTTATCTATCTATTGCGGTGATGAAGTTAACGATGAGTGAATATGAAAAAACTCGATGCCCACAAATGACATGAGTAACTCAATATATATATATATATATATATATATATATATATATATATATATATATATATATATATAGGAAAGAATTACATTTACAACCCCTCAACTTAATAAATACTTATATAGTGAACACAAAGTTTTACATAAGTCTAATATCCCCCCTCAAGCGAAACTGGTGGAGGTCGGAGATGGAGCATGTGGCGAAATTGCTCGAATTGGTGTAGAGGGAGACTCTCCGTGAAGATGTCCGCAACCTGAAGCTTGGTCGGCACAAACCTGGTGAGGAGTTTTCCCGATGTAACAAGTTCGCGAACAAAATGATAATCCAGATCAATATGCTTGACGCGCTTATGAGAAACTGGGTTCTGAGTGAGAAACAGAGCACTCTGATTATCACACAGAATGGTTGGACGACCAGTTGGCAGGGCATGAAGCTCACGTAGCAAATGAGTGATCCAAATTAGTTCAGCAGCAGTGTTGGCCATGGCTCGATATTCAGACTCACAGCTGGAGCGAGAGACTGTCGGTTGCTTTTTGGCGCTCCAGGACACAAGATTATCACCCAGGAAGATCGAGTACCCATACGTGGATCGACGAGTGTCGAGGCAACAGGCCCAATCAGCATCAGAATACCCCACCAGGTTTGTGAGCTTGGGCCTGGAAAATGTGAGTCCAAAGGACAAAGTGCCTTTGACGTATCGAATAAGACGTTTGATGGCCTGGTAGTGAAGAACCGTTGGAGCTTGCAAGAACTGACTAACTTGATTAACTGCATATGAGATATCTGGTCGAGTGATGGTCAAATACTGAAGCGCCCCAACAAGAGACCGATAATGAGTAGGATCCACATATAGCGCCCTAGAAGCAACAAATGAGGTGTTGGCCGCAAGGGGTGTTGAAACCGGCTTGGAATCAAGAAGTCCAGCACGGTCAACAATGGAGTGAGCATATTTGGATTGACTGAGAAAAAGCCCAGAGGGGAGATGCTTGGCCTCAAGACCGAGGAAGTAGTTGAGTTGCCCCAAATCCTTGATCTTGAATTATGCGTGGAGCTTGTGAATAAACGAACGTATGAGCGATGAATCGGAGCCAGTGAGAATGATATCATCAACGTAAACAAGCAGGTACAAGACACAGGCACCCCGTTTGAAAATAAACAATGAGGGATCAGTCACAAGAAAAGAACTTAGCCGATGAAACCACGCCCGAGGGGCCTGTTTAAGACCATAGATGGCCTTATGGAGTTTGCAAACGTGATTGGGGTAGCGAGGATCAATAAAACTAGGCGGTTGCTTCATATAAACAATGTCCGTAAGATTGCCATGTAGGAAAGCATTATTGACATCTAACTGATGTCGCTTCCATTGATTAATAACCGAAAGAGTCAAGACGACGCGAATGGTGGCTGCTTTCACCACCGGGCTAAATGTATGAGAACAATCCAGCCCGGGAACCTGACTGAATCCCTGAGCAACAAGTCGAGCTTTGTGCCGATCAATAGAGCCATCGGCAAGGTACTTGGTGCGAAATAGCCACCGACACCCAACAACATTAGTGTTGGGGGGACGTGGAACCAAAGACCAAGTGGCATTACGAGAGAGAGCATGCATTTCGGAGCACATGGCGGCCACCCACTTAGGATCTCGAAGAGCATCATGATGAGTAGATGGATCAGTCGAGGCAAACAATGCAGAGTACAACCCGTGGTCCGACGTATGTGCCAAATCAGCCCGATGACGAGGCTTAAAAATCCCTGCTTTTGCCCTAGTAATCATGGGGTGACCGTCGGGAGATGGATCAAGGCGCATAGGGATCGAAACACTAGGTGCAGGGTTCGGTGATGCGGGTGGATCATCATCACTATCCGATCCAGCGGGCGAGCCAAGGGGCTCGGATGAGGCGTCGAAATCGGAGGGTATAGGGTCATCAGGTTCAGCGGGCGGAGTGTCAGTTGCAGGAGTGGTCACCGGAGCGGGGCAAGGGCGGGGGTCAGCACAGACACCACAGGAGAAGGGATGCGGTTGATAAGGAGATAAAGCAGGAGGCTTTGAACAAGCCCGGGAGACAGGCATAGGTTGTGAGGTATCTTCCAAAAATGAGTGTAAAGGTAAATCATCCAGCGAGACCTGCGGAGTGGCACTGTCAAATGGAAAACGCATCTCGTCAAAACGAGCATGACGCGTAATGTAAACGCGAGCTGTGCATGGGTCAAGACAAAGATAGCCCTTGTATTGTGAGTGATAACTAAGAAACACACACGGAATGCTCCGCGGAGATAGCTTATGCGCCGAATAATCACGTAGATAAAGGTAGACCCGGCACCCAAACGGGCGAAAATTATCATAAGACGGAACATGCTCGAATAGTAGCTCGAATGGGGATTTGGAGCCAAGAACCTTTGAAGGTAAGCGATTAATAATGTAAACTGCGGAGCTAAAAGCATGGACCCAATATTTAGCGGGAACATGACCATGAAACATCATAGCAAGCCCAGTTTCAATGATGTGACGGTGCTTACACTCGGCCCGACCGTTTTGTTGCGGGGTGTAGGGACACGAAACCCGATGAAAAATGCCATGCGAATTTAGCAAACTTTTGACCCGATTATTTAGAAACTCCGATCCACCATCACTTTGGAGAACCTTAAGTTTAGTGGAAAACTGGTTTTCCACAAATTTAATAAAGGATAAAAAAACATCAAAAAAATCCGATTTAGCCTGCATAGGATAAAGCCACGTGAAACGAGAGTGATCATCCACAAATGACACACAATATCAAAACCCATCAACCGAGGGAACTGGCGATGGTCCCCAAAGATCACAGTGCACCAAATCCAAAACATGTAAAGCACGCTTATTATTAATAGGAAAAGACAACCGTCGAGACTTAGCAAGTTCACAAGAAGAACACAAAATTGGTTTCGGCAAAACACTAGAAACCATTAATAGTCCAAGTTTATTTAACATAAAAATTGTGTCAAATGACACATGTCCCAAACGGGAATGCCAAAGTTCAAATGACGCACGCGGCTTGGCCCCGACAAAAAACGCATAAGTTTGAGGAGTGGTGTCCAACACGTAGAGACCGCGATCACATTTTCCTTGTGCTAGAACTTGCCTCGTTGTTCGATCCTGTATAAAAAACATGGATTTGGAAAAAAGAACATCCACAGGATTGTCCCGAGTCAGTTTGCTAATAGATAATAAGTTGTTGGTGAGGCGTGACACTACCAACACATCACGTAAGTGAATATTAGGAGCAATTTTGGATGAACCAACGGAAGAAATTTTAAGAGTGTTACCATTGCCAAATTTAACGGAAGCATCACCACCATAGGGCTCGGAATTAGTGACCGGATCGGTTGAGGAAACCATGTGATCGGAGGCCCCGGAATCGACAAACCAATCCAGGCCGGCTGTGGAAATATTGCACTTGGCTAAGAAAGCCTTGGCGAGATCGACTTCGGTGGAAGATCCGGGTGAGGCAAACGAGGCAAGTTGGGGGCAATGGTTAGCAAAATGACCATTTTGCCTACAAAGTTGACAGTGAGGTGATCGGCGACCACGACCTCAACCACCACCACGGGCCGCACGACCACCGCGACCCCGACCAGATGTCGACCCAGTAGGGGCTGCAGCGGCAGAAAACACAACAGCAGGGGGTGAAGAAGCTTCGCCATGTATAGCCTTCAAGAAAAATTCATGACCTTCGGCCTTAGCCAGAAGATCACGCAACTGGTAGGAGGCACCGGAGGTCCGAATGGCTATGGAAAAGGTTTCAAATGATGCACCGAGGCCGCACAAGAACCAATGAGTCTTATCGGAATCATCGACAACTTGGCCGATAGCAGCGAGTTGATCACACAATAGCTTAAATTTGCGACCAAACTCAGAGATGGAGTCGGTGCCTTTGGTGAGATGGCGAAGGCAGTCACGAA